TTCCAGGCTAACCCCCAAGGTCCAATCAAAATAAAACATAACTGTCTTTTTTTCATGTAGCCCTGCAAGTATTTGAAATTAGCTATAGAGTTTTCCCTAAGTCGTCTTGTGTAGCCTGAACCAGTATTTTTCAGTTATTAATAATAGTATCAAAAACTGGTTTTAATTTTGTCTAGTGTGAATTTTTTAAAAGGATAGTTTAGTGTAAATTTTTTGGCTGGTACTTCATCTTATCAGCAAATAATTAGAACAATGTAAGTTTAACATGTTTGTATATGTATTTTTGAAATACATGAAATACTTAGTTTTACTTGCAAGAGATGAATTCTGGATTCTTTTAAACTATGATACTGGTATTAACAACAGCATTTTGGCACTACAGGAAAGAAAGAGAAAAACAGTATTGTAATTTTGCTTTAGTGTTACAGCTTTCAGTGAAAGCTTAGCTATATTGTTAATGAAAAGTGGCTTTAGTTTCCTGAAGATAGGAAGGAAACTTAGGGTTTCTTGAGAAAAAATGGGAGTAAGAAAGCAGGAGACCTTCCTTCTTAGGAAGGTACAATTGATACATTAGTTTATTTAACAGCTCTTTCTTGTGCCTGCTTCATGATACAAACTGTGGTAGACTTTGTAAATATAGTTATTTTCCAGATAGAGTCCTTGTTCTCCTTGCATTTTACTAGTGAAAGAATATTTGTACCTTACTACAGATTGTGTGTAGAAGGAGATGGGAATGACAGGAAGAGCACCGGGGTGGAAGGGGTACTTCTATGGGGTGAGGCTATCGTAATGGGGAGCACAGAAAGAAGAGAGGAACACTTTTTCTAACTTTGTGTGGTCCTTCAGATTTTGAGAGTTGCGATATGAGTGTTGTTTGTGTGAAGCTTAGAGAAAATTTGTTGAGAACCACTAATTTAGCACATGAGGAAATTTAAGGCACAAGTTTAAAGATCAATTGTAACAATTTATCCAGGGTTGTCTAAGTCATTAGTGAACAAGCTGAGACTGGAATCCAGGTTTCCTAGTTCCCATTCATATTCATCCACTGTTTTTTTCACTTTTTTTCAAGTGACTGTTTTCAGCACCCCCCACTCAGTCTGGCCTTGACAAAGTTGTGTTTCATTGGTGGTCGATCAAAGGAAAGTCTTAGGGAACTGCTTTCAGGTAGGATGGGAAGGGCCCATAAGAAGTACACACAGCCTCTTAGAATAGTTAGAATTAAATGGTGCTGAGACTTTGTAAATGAGAATTACAGCAGCAAGATAATTTGCTTCCTGTAGACCATATGTTTTTAAAAATTGAACATTAAACATTTTGCTGGATTGAGCAGAGCATTTTTAATTTTTTTTGAAACCTAAGAATTTTAATAGATCTATAGGGTTCATCAAATGGAAGGTTGAAGTTGGCAGCCTGGGTTGATTAGGAGATTAGGAGGTTGGTGGATGGAATGGTGAATTTGTAGAATCACTTTGAATCCTTATATGACTTGAACAGCCAAGTTGATGTTGTTCAGTAGGTTGGTGCCCTGTGTGTCTGCCTGATGACCCATTCTGTGGAGGATTCACTGTATTTCAGTGGCCCAGGCTCATGGTTTTATTTGTGGCACATTTTAAGGTTTGTGGGTAATGGCCTTGCCACCTTCCCTCAACCTATTACAATACTGAAGAGAGGTTGACCACACAATAAATAGTTTGAAGTTTCTTGGCCATACAGTTTCTGCTGTAATTACAGATCTGCCTTCAGAAAAGCAGCCACAGACACAATGTAAGTGCATGAACTGACTGTGTTTGAATAAACCTTTATTTGCAAAAACAAATACTGAGCCAGATTTAGCCCAGGGGCCCTGCTTTGGTGACCTCTGACCTACAGTGATGACATAAGGTATATGGGTCATGTTGAATTTCCCTAAGAAACCAGTATTTTTGCCACTCCTTCATTTTTTTAAAACTTGATTTTTGTGAAATTACAGTGACGTGAATGTAGGCATTCAAGTAGTCTACAATTTGACCTTAACATGCCAGAGTTAAAATGGGTTTTGTATTTTCAAAGAGTTACATTCTAGTTAGGTAGATTTCCCCTTTTTTGGACAGAAGAAAATTTTTATTTTAGAAGCCTCTTACTTCAGAGGAGGATGCTCCATGTTTCATACTGTAAACACTTCAGTTGGAATTTAAACAAGACAAGTTATTGAGGCACATTCCTTTTTAATTGGGCAAAACTGAATTTAATATTTATGATTTGGGTATCTAATCAGAGGATATGGTAATTAATAAAAAATTTTAATTTTTTTTAAACCTTACCTATTCTTTATTTGGATAGACTTCATCCACCTTATCATAAGTTAATTGATACAATAGCAGGTCAATAAATGGCATTTTTAATGAAATGAAATATTACCTTGCTGTTAGTAATGAGGTTTCTTCAAAAATATGGAAATGACTGTGAAGTTATGAAATGAGATAATAATTTAGTCTCCATGTTGATTAGAACTCTATAAAAATGTTTGTATGCAATCACAAGGAGATTGCCATGGTCTTTTTAACCTAGTTAGTATTAATGGGAAGAGATTTTGGCCCCTCTCTTGTTTTCAGGAAATTTCTGTTTTATTATAAGGTTGGTTGAATATATAAAAAAACAATTCCAGGAGGAATTTTTAAAGTCCCTAGTGGGCTACAATATGAAATGAAAGTAAAATTGTTGTTTCTAAGCCTTAAACTAATACTTCATGTATTCATAGCATTTTAGCAGTATTCATCAGAAAAATAATTTACAGAAATGGTGGATTTTGGTTACTGAAATACACATTTAAATTATTCTGCAGTTTTCATTTGATCCAGAATGAGCCACTGGAAGGTGGCTTTTTCTTAAGTTCACTCCTGCCCTTCCAGAGCTCTTTGCCTACATCCCTTCACTTCCGTCTTTGAGGAAAAGTGCCCCTTTTTCTTGCCAAGGTATCTTCTTGTCTTTCCCTTCCCTTCAACTGCTCTTCCTTGAGTCAGGCTCTTCCACTGACTGACATATAATCACCAAGTCATGGTATCTGTCAGAGGCCCAATTTCCAAATCTATAAACCTTTGCACTTTTGGGTGGTGAAGATAAAATATGTAACAGCAAAACTAGACCAACGTGGTCCATATAGCAATTATACAATAAATCATAGCTGCCATTATTATTTAAAACATTTTATATTTTATCCTCTTAACTAGTTAATTCCCTTTTAACTACTAATTTGCTCATGTTTTCTGTCTCTCAGAACACTTGGCTCAGTCTTGTTTGCCTCTCATGCTCTGGCATTTTTTCTTTCATATACAAGATGTTTCATACACAAACATTTTTGTTTGTATATGTATTTTTGAAATACATGAAATACTTAGTTTTACTTGCAAGAGATGAATTCTGGATTCTTTATTGCTGTTACACCTCTACCATGGAAACTTTGGCAGTGTATCTTCTCACCACGTCTTGCTAAGTGACCATGCAGCACCATACCATGACTTTCTTCATCTCTGTCCTTTACCCTGTCATTCTGGAGTCTGCCTCTTTCCTTAGCTTCTGTGACAAGACAGGCCTGCTTTTCCTTGTGCTGTTCAGCTTTACCTTTTCTATTTGCTTTTCTGACTGTGAGTTCCTTTGTCTGCCCCACATGTTTGTGCTCCCCAAGGCTCTGTTGTTGGTCTTCTTTCTTGCCACCCTACCACCTCCCTCAGTGATCTCACCTACTCCTGGGGCTTCGGATAGCCCATCTCTGCAGATGACTTCAAAATGTGTAATTCTAACCCGCCCTGTTGTTTTGAGCTTAAGGTTACATCTTATGAGGTCAGCCTAGAGAAGCTGTGGGTATTCAGACTCAGCATGTCCTAAACCAAATTCTTCTTTTACTATCCTCAACCAGCTGTTCCAGATTTCCTGTTAGCTGTTAGCAACAATACCATTCTCCCAACCACCGTTTTTTGGTGCCTTTTGTCTGCCACATCTCTGCCTCAGTCTCCCTATTACATTAGCTGTATCTTTTCTTCCAAAAAAAATGTATTGTGTTTACATATGCATAGAAAGATATCTGGAAAGAAATTCACTAAAATGTATAAATTCTTTTATCTCTGGAAGATGGGATTTTTGTACTGTTTGAATTTTGTGTTTTTAACAGGTATTTATTATTTATATACTTGTATCCAATTTGTGTTCTTACCCCTTATCCTGCATGACATCCCATGGAACTCCGAATGTTCCATCAGTGTGCTCCCACTTTCTTACCTTTACTCCTTTGCTATGTGCCTGGGTCCTTCATTCTTTGCACCTTCCATTGTCATTTTTTCAGGATTCCTCTCAAATAAGTTTTCTTGAAGGAAACCCTTCTCCCAGTTGAATGTGCTTTCTCTTTGATGAGCTCTCTGGTCCCTGTGTCACTTCCTGTGTTCTCCTCCTGGTCTTCTTACGTAGGTTTTTGGGGTTAGTCCCTTTATTAGATTGTAAGCTCCATGAGAGCAGAGATTGGGTCTTAATCATCCTTTTCCCCTTTTGGTTATAACCTCCCAAATCTTTTTTGGGAGACAACACCTTTTCTCACTGGCTGTGGTTTTGGTGGGCTGGTCAATCAAAATGTCCTGTCAAGAGGATGCCCTCCCCCTGGAATTTGGATTTTGAGTCTTGGGATACAAGGACTGACAAGATTGGTGCTGATTTATCTTGGCCAAGATGCTCTGAAGAAGCCACTCGTTGGTTCCTGCCTCTTAGATCCCTGGAGCTGCTCTGGTCCCTGAACTCTCCGAGGCCTGGGTCTTCAGAGTTTCCTTCGTATCTGTGAGCTATCTCATATCCTTACAATAAATGTCTCTCTCTCTCTTTAAGTTTTGTGTTAGCCAATGACAGTTTCTGTTGCTTTCACCCAAAGATCCCTACCAATAGAGCTGTTCTGATTAGAACTGACCAGACATAATCATTCTGGTTCCTGTATTGATTCTGATGTGTTTTTTTCTTCTTTTTAAAAATGAAAACAAAAACAGCCAGAGACTGCTGCTGCTTTGAAACGTACAATAGAAGCCTTGATGGACAGAGGGGCGATAGTGAGGAACTTGGAAAACCTGGGTGAGCAAGCCCTTCCTTATAAGATCTCCACCCACAGTCAACAGCACAGCAGAGGAGGGTAAGTCTTTCATGAGTCACTTGAAAAATGACCTTGATAGGCTCAAAAGTATACTATTTAATTCATCTTAGTAATAATTATAATTTTACTGTAAGATCCCCATTGTGCCAAGTGGTGTCCAGGTACGTACCCTAGCAGTGTTGTGTTGCAGATGGGATAGAGTTATGCTGGCACATAATAAACTATAATCAGAGTACAAAAACAGGTCATGTTAGGAGCAACAGGTTTAAAAGCTTTTGATTATCAGCCTAAGCACTATTTTCCCTTGGCATTTCTCTAACTTTGCCTTTAAAGCACCTCAGTGAGCAGTGTGTCATTTGCATACTCATTGCTCCCTTTGTAAACACAGAGTGTGCAGAAAGAGCAAAATGTACTTTTCATGACTAATGTACATAACCAGAGTCTAGCCCACAAAAGAGAAGTGGTTTTGCTACTCCCAAGTAATCTCAGTTTACTGTTATATAATTTTTTTTCCTCACATGGTAGGTAGCAACTTCATAAAACATATGTCAAGAATTTGATTCTATAGTAATAATTATCCTTGTAGAAATTCTTTGAGACCAGTTTGATAAATTCATTTGAAGCCTCTCTAAGGCCTAGTTATGTCATTTTTACACCCATGGCTTCTGGTTTGGAGGAAGTATCTTCTCATATTGTTGAGTTTCCTAGACGTAAGGGTAGAGAAGATGGCAGTCAGTTTTTAACATAGTGGAAAAGTCCAGGAGTAGAAGACTCAGTTGTCCCTCTGGAACGTGCCAGCTGTGTGGCCTTGAGCAAGTCATTTAGCTTCCCTGATTCCTGCTTCCTTGGATACGAACCTAGGTCATTGTCCTCCTACCCATACTGTCACAGAGACCCAGTGAGATAATCTGTGAAGCTGTCTTCTCTGGACAGCCCTGGGTGTTGTGTGGTGCTGCTTTTAGTCCCATTGAGCAGGTGGTCTCTTGCTTGTGTGGTTCATGAGGTAGGTTTGAGTGGAGTCATGGCTCATGCTGAGGCTTTCTAATCTCATTTGAACCTTCTACTGCAATGTGGCACATACTGCAAATTTCATCTTTTTGATTGCTTCACCTTGTTTTGTGCTGGTGTTCAGCTTCTTGAAAACATCTCTAAAGAGAGTGCCTGAGGCGTTGCTAGGTAACATGAAATTCACTGTGGCTAGTCCTCTTCCACAATCGCAGTAACAGGGATAGAGATTGTGTGTGTATAACATTTTTTTTAACTTAAGTACAAAAAGGTTTGGATTTAACACCAAGGCTGTGAATCCTTTTGCCTTTCTGTTTAAAGAGGAGCATATAAAATCTGGCCAGAATTGTTAGGCAGGGTTCTCTGATGGAAGGCACTGAATAGAGAGAGAGAAGTCAGTTTCCTCATTCATGTGCTTACAGGGATGTACAGTAGGAGTGCTTTCTTCTGCCTTTTTTCCAAGTAGAAGATTTGACTTTGTTGAGGGTTACTTGGACCAACATTCTAGAATTTGCACTTCTCACACGTGCCTGGTGGTGTTGATGGCTGCTGTCCGAGGACCACACTTTGAGAACTGCTTGCTGTGTTAACTCACTTAGTTTTCAGGTTTGTGTATGCAGTGCTGGGCTTAGGTGGTGCTGTGTCTCTTTCGTGGATGGAATAATTTCAGGTCCTGGAGGAACTCGACTGGAACGTAGCCAGAACTGCTGACAACACTAGCTCTATATTCCAGATTTCTGACAAGGTGCATGTGCCCCATGATGGACTGGTTGTAGTCACTTAGTTCATACACATTTAAGGATTTCATTTCTTTTACTTTCAGACTTCTCAGCAAAAGAGGGAACAACATTCTATATGTGTATTGTATATAGCCCCAGAATTACCTGGTCAGGGAGATTGTTTTTCCAAGGTGAATCAGAGTCTGGCATTTATTTGCTTAAGGTAATGTTTTGTAGTGTCCTCTCTGAAATACTAGTAATACAGATATGCTCCACCAAAAAGTGGAGTGTGTGTGTGGTGTGATCACTTAGATGTGGGAAGACTTGCACATTCTAACCCCTTCTAGAAATTCAGAACACATATTAGTATATAAATGGTGAGAAGCCTTTCAGTAAGATGACTTCATTATCAATTTTATTTGACAATGTTACTTTGTATTTTTATGAAACTTGATATCCTTCCCAGTGACTTTTGGTAAATGAGCAGGTGAGGGACTAGTGTCATGTAGAGTCACCTGGATGAAGATTTATTAAAATTGAATGGTAATTCAGATGGATGAGTGTTGTTTGGAGTCACCTAGGTGAAGACTTAGAGCTGAGTGGTAGGTCAGATGTGTGCAGTGTGGAGCTGCACAGTATTCTGACACTCTTCTGGCTTCAGCCATTCCTCCCGTAGTCACTTAACCCCAACGATGTTTGTACTGGCATTTTGTTTGTTTGGCAAATTCTTGAAGTGAGTTGCATGGACATAGAAGGTGTTATGAGCATGTACTAAGTGGATTATGTGCAGAGTGTGCAAGACGCTTGCTAGATATTGGGAAGCCTTACTTTTTTGAAGCAGTTAAGAAGAAACAGAGCAGACTTGTCATTACACATTTAGCATTCAAAGTTGTTAGCTTTTTGAATAAGTGCCTGGAGGCAATGGCACATACCTGTAGTTCTGATGAGGCACTGATTTGAATGCTGAGGTTGGGTGCAGGAACCAGTTTTGAGCTGGCTAATGAGTGAGCCTAAATGCTCTCCAAGAATCCACATTGCATTGTGGTGCTGTTGGTGGTGTGTGTTTGTTGCTTTTACATTTTGTGGGAGGAAGTGGTATGTCCTAGAGGTATTCCCAGTCTCTAGGTGGTTCTTGGGATTGTTGTGCTTCCTGTTCTCAAGGAGTTTTTGATCAAATTGGGTCTTGCCTGAATATTGCCAAACAAAGCACCAGCCAAGGTGGTATAAGGGCACAGGCCTGGGCTGACTACCAGGTGCAACAACTTACCATTATGTTGGGTGATTATATTTATCATTCTCCCATCCTCTGCTCCTTCTCCCAGATCCATACTCCTGCCACACGCATGCCAGCTAGGCCCAAAAGAAAGATGTGCAGGTAGAAAAGTGCTTAGGTGGGAGCAGTACCACTACTTCAGGATTATCCAGGAAGCCTTACCAGAGGAGGCAGTTGTACCTGGTATTTATTATATCAAGCCTATTACCAGTTTATGCCAGAAATGAAATACAATTGTTATATTCCACGTGTTAATTTGGTCAGTCTCCACTTTAGAAATAGGTTATATTCCAGAAATTTGTCTGTAAGTCTGTTATTTATAACTGGGAACCTGTTTTCCCACTGGAACAACTTGATAGTTAAGTTCCCAGGTGTATCCATAGAAATTTACTCAACATAATCCCTGAGGGTCATTAGAATAGAGTGAGCTATTTATGTACAGCTGAGTACCATTTAAAAAATTTTTTAAAATGTTTCTCTGCTTTCCACCTGGCAGCAGAGTGGAGCCCGGGTCGGTCTCCCATGTCACGGTTGGGAGGATACCTCAGGCTCCTCTAATGTAGTAATAGTATTTCCAGGGGAAGTCACTTCCCGTGTCAGTTGTCCCCCAGCTGATATGAACTAGGAAGCGGGAGGAGTTGACCAGATGCCCTGATGCCCCTTGGGCCCGGTCAGGATGGTTCGCAATATTCAGGCAGGAGCTGAGGATGGGAGAATGGTAAAGATAATCACCCAGCATGATGGTAAATAATCACAGTGTGTTTTCTGGACCATCTTCCAGATGGAGGCTTCTGTCCTCACTCACCACCTGGGTAGGAGGTTTGGAGGGAGTTGGTTGGAAGGCCTGAAATTCATTCTCAGCTATGCATTTGCTTTGGTCTCTTGGAGGCCCCCTACTTTTTCTCAGCTTTGTATTTCACATGCTCACCTTGAGACCTTCATCAGCTCTGTGGGAAAGGCAAGTTTGGTGTTGTGGAAAATTCTTTCTGTATCCTTAGCATCGAAAAGGGGAAAAATGTCACACGTGCAGAAGGAAACAGCAGGAGTGGATGCTTATCTAGATCCTTGCTGGGAAGGGCCGGCATTGTCCTGAGCTATAGTGTCAGTCACCCTCTGCCAGAACCCCTTCAGTTTCTCCCTCTGGGCTGTATGTGCTAGTTCATGGCAGTCCTTCCACTAGATGGGGCTGAACTGAGACTGAGAGAGATTTCTGGAAATGTGCAGGAGAGGAAACTACAAAGTAAACTGTGGTCCAAATTTCAGTCTTGGGCTTGTACTTATTTTGTAAAAGGATAGCCCAGATTGGCTTTGACTGATTTTACCAGGTCTAATTTTCTGCAGTGAGGCTGGACTGGCTTTAGAATGAGTGTGTGTAAGAACTCAAAGTAGTAAAGGAGGTTTTTCTTTGCTAGTTTTGACCCTTCTTTCTCTGTTCTCATTTACTTTAAAATGTGAATAGGTGCTTGTAGAAGGTATCTGTTGGCCTACATATAAGATGCCCTTCTATTTACGGGTAAGCAGAATGATAAAAATAACTGGCTCTGTGGTGAATCAGTGGAATTTTACTGACTCGTTCCCCAAATGTGTCTGCAGCTTACTCCAAGAGAGCTGGCACACTCTCTAGAGGAGATTGATTCTCCTCTGTAGTTTTCCTGTTAGCTAACATTTCCATGTTCTCGTGCTTTCCTTCCAGCACTAAGTCCAGGCCAGCATCCTGACCCTATTCTGGTGTGTAGGTAGGTACTACACAACCGGTTGTCAAGGCAGGGCTGCTGTGGCCTTGGAGGTTTCTTTTTAGTGGCAGCACCCAAGATTTATAAGGATTCTGCAGCAGGTTTAGTGATTTTTAAAATTTAGGAGACCTAACAGATATAAAAAGAACTGGGGCATTTTCATGCAGAGGATTCCTTGTTCTAAGGTGAATAATTCACTGCTTTAGTGAAGCCTGAATCCAGAAAGGTTTAACTGATAACAGTCTAGGAACTTAGATTCAAACGGATCTGTTTCCTATCTTCAAAAAGATTCAAAGATACTTCATAGTT